ACCAATCCAAACGCCAAAGAAACCGCGCTCCACCTGATTTCTCAGCGCAGTGCTCATCCAGCGCTCGTCCAGGCGGCACTTTCAGAAATTGGCCGCCTCTGAAGGTGCAGCAGCTCTTGACGGCGCGTTGAGACCTTTTGCCGACGTTTTGGGCTTTTGAGATGATCCCTTCAGGTCGAGGGTCAGGCTTGGACAAGGCAGGTGGACAAACGCTGTGAAACTCAGAAGCTGTGTTTGAAGGTGCCACGGCTTCAAACTGATTAACCGCAAAACCTGAGAGGCCATGGTATCATGGCCAGAACGCACCAAGGCGCTGGATTTTTCCCGCCTTCATGTTGCCATGCCATCATGCCATTATGCCATCATGCCGTGCATTTTCATGTTACCTTCGGTCATTTTTCGTTTGGAGACTCAGAGCCCACTCCATGACCAGCTCAGGAGCCTGAGATGGTTCACCAGACCGCCTCGGACCCGCTTCCCGTCGAAACTCGGCCACCGCTTCCCGGCGAGGAGGCTGAACCCGCTACCGCCCCGAGGGCGGAAAGCCCGGTGGCAGTGGCGCCACAGGAAGCTCCGGAAGCTGGGCAGGATGAACTTCGCTGATGTTTCTGGTACGTGATTGGAAAGCTGAGATCTTCAAGCTTCAATCATGTTTATGTTCATTGTTGGGGGACAAGAAACCGCCTGCATTTTGTGTAAACACCTTCAGTAGAAGAATTCGTTCGCTGTTCGTTGTTTTTTTTTGCACAGAGCCGCTCAATCCCCGTTTCACTGGTGTCACCCTCCCTGAGGGAATCTTTTCCCTGAAAAATGGGAGCCAGAGAACGACGTCTTGTCTCCGGAGCGCATGCTGTTTCTATCCAAGCTGTTTCCGCCACAAAACAGCTACAACATACCAAACATTTGCAAATGTGACATCCGTGTGTACATCCGTGTACATACTTGACATGTCACGTATCTCGTGATTTTTTGCTATTCATTGGTCACGACCTTGCTTGCAGAAGACGTTGCACCTTCTCATGCGCGTCCTCGTTAATTCAATGGGATCATTTCGCGTCTCTGTGTGCTGCTGGACCTCAGGATGTTGGTTGATGCCCTTGAATGCCCTCTCAGGTCACCAGGTCCCTACCTTCCGCTAGAAGCATTTCAAACGGATCGTGAAGTCTGGCAGGTTAAGGTCTTGTACTATAAAATCTGCCAAGTGGCGCCTGCTTCAAAAGCAGTCATCTTGCCCCGAGGGGGAGAATTTGCCACCTGAAAAAGTGTGACCTGGCAAAGTGGAAAGGGTAGATTTACATGTTCCGATTGAACACAGCTTCATCCTTTCTTGCGTTCTTTCCGGTTGCCGATTCCACGGTTGCTCGCAACAGAGTTGCAACAATTTGGGCCACAGTTTTGTCCACAGTGAGCTGCAGGTAGCAGTGGCGGTAAAGGTGAACACGCTGCCGGGCGAGCCAGTGGCACCGGCTTGTTTTGGTCCCGGGTGCAGCCATTCAAGTCTCTCACGTCTGCACCCCAGCCGCGCTTCCGCCGCATTTCTCCGATGTTCAGATCAGCCCGTTCCGTTCGCTCATCCCGTTCGCTGCCCCATGGTTCCGTTTGCACCGCTCGCGCTGTTGGCGATCTGCGCAGAGGCGTTGCCGGCGTTGCCGTCGTGGAACCACGCTCACAATGCTACTGAGAACGCCACCGGCTTGAACGCGACCAACCTCACACAGATCAGTGTTGCTCAGCCAGGGCTACAAATACAAAGAGAAGAAGTCTCCCATTTCCTGAGAAAACGGGCAAATCCATTTGACGTGGTGAACACGACGGAAATGGCGCCTGCCGTGTCGGAGAAGTTTCTTCCGTTCTATTGCTCCGGCTGCTTGAGCACAAATCTTCTTTGCTACAAATACAGGTGTCGTACGAGTTCAGGAGCACAATTCTGTTCAAACGTATTGCTTCGTGGCTGCAAGTAGTTGAACGATTCTAGTCCGTTGAGCCACAAGGGCCAGCGTCTCGAATTCGCGAGTGCGTGTTCTTTTAGTGCCACATGGCCTCACCCTTCCAGCTGTGAAAGGGTACTGCCTAAAAGGGCTCGATCGGCCTGATCAGTTCCAGAAAGCACAAAACGACAAAAAACATAGGGTAAAGAACGGGCATTACGCAAGAGGCCCTTTACATGCTTCTTTTTTCTGCTGTTTACACTGGTGCGGTGAACTCGTGCTTCGATTAAAGTCGAAAGTCTCAGATTTCGCGAGTCTGGTGGGTGGTATAAGCCCCAGGTGTGCGGCTGCACGATGGGCGGTCTTGGACACAGAGCCATTGTGGGCATTCTTTGCGTGGTCATTCTTCTTCGTTTTGCATGGATGATTCTTACCTGCCATGAACAAATGATGGGAGAGGGAGAACATTCGGTTTTTGCTCTTGATGAGAGAATGCCACACCATTAAGGAATCTTCAAGGCAGGGGTCTCAACATATGTCCCCTTGAGCTTCAGGCAGTGGTGCCAACTTCGCTTTCGTAGAGTTCCGAACAGCAGAGGAGGCACAGAGCCATGCCTGCCGGACTGCAAGACTGCAACGCCTGTCGTTGTGTGAAGCATACAGTACAGATGGCCTCCACCCTAGTAGCAATGGCCTCCAACCTAATAGCGATGGCCTCTCTCCTATTGTACGGATTGAAAAGACATGATCTCAAAGATCAGTTGTCACGGTGATTTTTCCCTTGCAGGCTGCCAACGGTCTCCGCCTGAACGGCGTAGAACTCTTGGGCTGCCAACTGAAGGTGGGGCATGTTGACCATTTTGAAGTCGGACACCTCTTCATGCCAGCTTTCAAGCTTCGAAGCTGTCGAAGACTCTTTGAACTTCTTTTCAGTTTTACAGCCCAGCCTCAAGAATGGGATTGCAGGTTGGCAGACCAAAGGGATACACAGGCCCAGACACAGGCTGGCACAGTGAGCTTGAGTCACAACACCAAGCCATTTCTTCGGTTGGACAAAAGCCGTCTGATGTTGTTTGCAATTACATGTCTTATATCATCTTAGAATCTTATATAATCTTACTTATATATTTTTTATCCGATATATTTATATACATGTTGTTGCTGCTGCTGCTGCTGCTGGTGTTGGTGTTGGTGTTGTTGTTGCTGTTGTTCCTCAATAGCAATTAGCGTACACTCTATTATTTTAGCGTTCGGGACAAAAACCTGCGAGAAGAGCTTCCAGGCGGTGTCTCGGTAGTGTCTGTCATCTGGGGATAGGAATGGCCTCCAACCTAAGAGTGATGGCCTCCAACCTAAGGGCGATGGCCTCCAACCTAGAAGCGATCTCATAATTTGATTGGGGTGGTGGGTGGAGCGAGACCAGCCCGGAGAGAAAGACCTGCTTCGGCTTGGCCTTGGTGATATGATGATAGAGAAAACACACAGGTAAAGGGCCTCTTTTAGTAAGGGGCCTATAAAAGAGGCCTAATTGAGGAGGCCCTTGACCTTCCGTTTTCTGACTTTTTGCAGGTGCTTTTCCCGTTTCATGCTTCCGCTCCCATTTTTTTGAGGCACTCCACAGTCATCTTCAACGCCTTCACTTGGGGACTGTTGCAAACACGTGAGTGTGCTGGTTATGCGATGTGATACGTCAAATACCAAAACATTCGAGACGCTTATTTTTGACGTATCGCAGTTCACTGGATTCCCTTCTGCTTGTGAGGATCTGATGGCACAGCACGGTGCTTTGGGCAAGACGCACTGCCGGCAAGTTTGCGTTTCCACTATGGAATGCTTTCAACTGTGCCTTTGTATAACCCTTATATAAACATATATGTGTGCATTTCCACATCATGTTATATCACATATTTACCAGGCTACCGCCTGCAGCCGCCGACCCCAAGGGAAAATGTAGTGGCAGGGTTGGGTCCCGGGATGGTCGCGGGCGGGGTCCTGCCAAAATCTAGACAAAGCCAAGAGCATTCCTACGAAAATGCTGGAAAAGCCGTATAGGCATGAGTACAACAATGGAAAAAAATAGGTTAGCAAAAGGTTACCAATTTTTTGGGGAAATCTGGGAACCTAAAAACAAGAGGAAGCGCTAGAAAATTCTTGGAAAAGCATCCAGCCGAAAACGTAACAAAATCTAGACAAAGCCTAGAGCATTCCTAGGAAAATGCTGGAGAAGCCTTTGAAAATCCCATAAATCCAACAGAAAACGTGACAACATCTACGAAAAAGCAAGGGCATTGGCCGGGACCACGCCGCGACCAGCCCGGGATTCGAGCCCGGGACCATTTTGGACCGTGCTTATTTTCCCGCGCGGGTGGAGAGGGTGCCCCAAGATGTAAATCAATTGGGATGGCAGAATCTTGGACAATCCAGGCCACCATCAGGTCGCAATCCCGTCAAATTCCGTTGCTATCAGGTCGCTCTTAGGTCGCTTTTAGGTCGCTTTTAGGTCGGGATTTCGCCACTGCAACAAGGGTCCGGAGGGGTAGGGGAGGTAAGGTCTAGGTCTAAGGCTAAGGACTAGGTCTAAGGCTAAGGATAAGGCTAAGGCTTAAGTCTAAGGCTAAGGCTTAAGGCTAAGGCTAAGGCTAAGGCTTAAGGCTAAGGCTAACATCGACAGTCACGCCTCACCCCACGGTGTGGGGTCGGCGGATTACATATCACATATCATATCGTATCATATCACATCTTATCTTATCTATGTTTGATTGCACACGGAAAGCTTCTGTGATTTGTTCTATCCCGATGCATCAGACTTGCACTTCCCGGATTGCCTGGACAGCACGGGGTTCCCAGAACTGCGTCCTCGCAATTCTTGTTTCTTAAAAGCTACTAGGAGCCAGAAGCTACTAGGGGCTCCTGGCCTTAAAGCCATGATGCTGGACTTGCGCCTTGCCAAGGCCACAGTCTGCCATTGACAGTCGCTTGTTCTGATCTCAGCAGATCTACCGGAGAGATCGTCTCTCCGCGGAGAGCGACGGACTCATTTGGGACCTGTGAGGATTAGATGTTGTGGCGACGATGTCACCTCTGAGGTGTCTTTGCTGTATCCCAACTTTTGTAAGTGTCCCAAACTCAGCTCCTTTGCCACCACGTCCACGCTGCCATGGCTGCCATGGCTGTCATGGCTCATCTTGGTCTCATTTAGGAAGAGCGAATCAAAGAGTTGCTCATCACCTTCGGGCAGCTGAAGTTTTATGCTCTGCAGAAGGATTCAGAAGGCAAATCTGTGCTCTCCTCAAACGGCGTGCGACCTGCGGATCGCAGAAACTCCCTCGACACGGAGTCGGTTTGTTTGTCCGAGGTCGGAGTTGCTTTCTTCGAGTATCAAGATATGATGACGCAGCAGCAGGCCGTGCGCGGGTTTGCCTTTCCAGTCTCCAGTGAATTCCTTCTGCAGTGGCAACGACATGTGGACGCTCAAACGACATGTGGGCGCTGAGCCAGCTCGACAGGCACGTGTTGCTTTGGAAGGTCTGGAGTTGGGTTGAGACCTGAGGAGAACGCATCCAGAAACTCAAAGAGAAGTACGCTCCCCACAAATAAGTATATAGTGGAATACTATCTGTTTGTACAGGACAATTCAATTGTCATTCAAGAGGCCATGCCATCCGCGTAACCATGATCATTTCCGGGAGTCGTTTGTAGACAGACGTTCACGCGCGGATGCTCCACAAACAGGGCGTTATTTTTCTGTCTTTTCTCAGAAAAGCGATGACCGTTTGACGATAGAAGCGCGATACAAGGCAACAACAAGCTGAAAGTCCTGAAACCGGATCAAGTGATTGAGCTTGGCCTGGTGGGGCACCTGAGTGAGTCAACCTGAGTGTGGCACCTTTTGGTCCAATTGCTCCATTTTCATCCATTTTCAAATAGATCGTGTTGCGAAACCGTTTCCTCCTGGCCCTAGAACCGATCACTGACTTTTGACCTTTGGAACATATATGTTTGTATAATTATATATATATATATGTATAGAGCTCAATAATCTTGCCAAGTGAGCCAGTATCAAGTATGGGCCAGTGCCATGCCAAGCCGTGCAATACCTGGAGTATGGCCTTCTCGTCGATTCCGACGATCGACGGCGAAACGTCAAAGACGAGACTTCAGAAAGGATTTGATTGGGTCCAACGGATTTACCCTTGAAACCAGGCATACTTGGCAGGAGTTTTCACCAAAAGCATATGCAGCTCATCAAACCATTGACAAAGAAAGAAGGCGGAAGGTGAGGTGTTTGTTTTTCTTTTTTGTGACCAGATTTCTTGCTGCTTTTGGGTCTGGTCGCTCGCAGGCAGCTTACCATTCTTTCTCCTCTGCGCGCACGTGTCAGGATGGCCACGTGTTTGTTTTCCTCGCCAGGTGGACAGAGAACAGAAGCTAGGTGCCCGGGTGGTGCCCAGCAAGGTGTGGCACCCAGGACCAAGGCCCCGCCATCGACTCATCGACCAGTTGGTCCGGTCCTGCTGCTGCCTGGCCTCAGCTGAAGCTGTGTGAGTTTGGTGTACGGAAAAGATCGGAAGACCTGGGATTCTACTGGAGAGTGAGTCTGACATCTACTGGTACTGTTGACATCTGTTGACCATTTGGTCCGGTCCTTTCCAATCTTGTGAGAGAGCTTTGGAACAGAGGGAAAGACGCCATCCAGGTAAGACAAGAAGGCACTCGATTCACTCGATGACGCAAACAAGAATCTGAGATTCTTTGTTGAATCCAAGAAAGCATTCCAGGCTTTTGTAGTGCTTTTTGGCCAAGCAGACATTCGTGACTAAGTTGGCTGCACACTCAGGTGGTCTATCTCAAGAACATTGTGACTCTAGAGGACCTGGCCGATGAGACTGGGTACGCCAGAAACAGAACTGAAGGGGGTGGTCCTGTAAAAAAGGGAGGCACAGGCACACTGACAGGCCAAATAGGCTTGAAGAGGTCTTTGAATCTTTGTTTTCACGGCTTTGGCATGCAGGTATGTCGAGATTTGCACAGACATCCGCTTGGAAGGGGAGAAGTTTGGTGCAGTCGTCTCGATTGAGGCAGGGGTGCGAGAGTCCTGAGGTCCCTCCTTTGATTCGGTGTAAACCTATTCGGTGCTCCTTCTTCTTTGAGCTTTTGAAGAGGCTGAGGCAATCCAAAAAAAAATCCGTGTCAAGGTTCCTCGTGGGGGTGGCGGTGGTGGCAGTGGCGGCGGCGGCGGTGGCTTGAACAATGCCCTGCCTGCGCCTGCAGGTTCGCTCTTGTGCTCCGTTAAGCAGTTCAGATGCTGCGAAGCAACAATCAAACTCGGTCCATGAGCGAAGCTACATTATGTTATAATATGTTATATATATATATAGAATATATATATACACGTTACACGTTGCAAAAGCCGGTGTGAGAGTGCACAGCTTGTGATGTACTCAACGAGATCTCGAAGCATTTTGAGATTCTTGATACATGTTGAAGCAAACGTGTGGAACGCTTCAGCAGGCCCGCTTGCGCTGACCAATGCCCCAACAGAGGAGCCTAAGGAGAATCCATGAGAGTGCTGACTCATGTTGAAACACCTTTTGTGCATAGGAAGCAACGAGCAAAAGCAGAAACTTGGACATGCTCTCATGATTATAATGATATTGAACATCTATTGATTTTTCTTTCATTTTGTTTCCAAATCATTACCACTGATTTACCATTTACCACCCACGTTTGCCCCCAAGCCGACTCTCCGCTCCCGCTCCGCCGGGCTTGTTTTCGCAGGCACCGGCGCCAGCAGCCCCAGCGGCTTTGCCCGCACCTACTCTGCCGGACTTGTCCATGGCGCTGGTTCCCATCGGTGGTCAGCTGGCCAAGGTCGATGCGAGGGCGTAGCAGCGGTCGTGGTTTTACTCCTTCTTCGTGCGTGCGAGGGTAGGGATGAGTCGTTTTTTTGGTGATGCTGGTGGCCGTGTTTCTTTGGAGATGCAAAGGCTCTCCAAGTCTTTAGTTCATGATATTCACATGATGTCCAGATATCTATAGACCTTGATCTTGTATGTTCGTGTTTCGCGTAAGACTTTGCTCTTGTATCTTTTGGGATGCATGTCACCATCCGGCCAGCCTGGCGGAGCGGGCGATGGCCCTGGTGGTGGAGCTTTGACCTCAGAATCTGGTTGATGAAGGTGTCTCCAATTCTTGACTCAATTCCTTTGCAATGAATCTCCTGTAAGGCAAGCGCGGGTCACTGTGGCAGAAACGCATTCTTGTACAATGCTTGTACTAAAAGGATACGATAGGAGTGTTGCATCTCGTTACCGTTACCGTTACTGTAGATCCTCCAGTGCCAAATCTAGACTATTTTGATTGATGAAGAACAACAACAGGAATAATTTTTACAATCCACGCCTGGGATTGCCGCCCAAATTTGCCAAACACGTCCGCAACTTATGATCTTGTACTCAAATGGCTACAGACAATCCCACATAATCCGCCCTACCACAACGAGGTGGAGATGCCGTCTTTGCCAGATAATCCTCATCCACCCGTTTGGCCCACGTGGCCGGAACTTGATCATACACAACGAGGCTCCTTTTTAACTAAAGTCCGTAATGCCCTGGCAAGAAAGAAAGACTTCGATGAGATTCCATATCCGAACACGAATTAGATACTTCCAATTCAGTTTGTCAATTCGTTCACCATTGAGATGCATCACTCGATCTCAGACATGTGTTCTTGGATACACCCAGCCCATTCGTTCGTTCCTTGCCGACACTTGTTGTACAGGGGGTCTTGTTTTTTCCTTTTACTCAATGGTCTCACCCCACTCTACCCATACCCGCTAATACAGCAAGAGATGGCGTAGAAGCGAGCAGAACTCGTGAGTGCGTGCATCCACGCCTGGGGGGTGTTTAGTTCATACGTCGAGTCTACATGCACTCCTCTTCTTTTTTGCGGTCGCCCGAAAACCCAACGCCCACGCCCACGGGGTGTCACGGGGTGAACGTCCTCAGGGCCCGTCCGGACCGGTGGACCCCACCACGCCGGGCTTTGGCTATGCCTTCATCGAGTTTGCGAATATCGAGGTGTGGCCGGTGGACAAACCTTGTTTTGGAACAGAGGTGAGCTTGCGAGAGGTGAGGTGAGGCATAGCTAAACGATGCTCAACGCGTCGCTTCCGGTTCAAAAAGAATTCCATTGGCCAACAACCTGCGGAATCCAGAGATTTACTCTCTTTCTGTGCAGGGCAGCTCCAAGGCCAAGAAGGCTTTAAGTGGCCGGCGCTTCGGGTGCGCTGCTTCAGAGCTACGAGTCCGGTCGTTGAGATGTGATTTTCCGGCTCCGCTGGTGAGTTCTATCGGCTGCGCAGGGCCAACTTAGTAGAGGCTGAGCATGAGCCTTAGACGAGTCCGGTTTCTGCGCAAAGTCAAGCAGAAAGTCCCGCAGGAAATCCAACATGGAGATATGATGTCACATCATGTCACATCCTTTTTAAGCTGCTGAGGTCTCTTAAGTAGGATGAGTGATGAATCTGGAAATGTGTCTATATCTTGAGGTTCTTCTCCGAAGACAAGTACTACGCCAAGGACTTCCTCAGGCCTCCCAGCAGAGTTTATGTTTCAAACTCTGGAGACGGACCAGTTTCTTCAATGTTAGTTCATTTGTTGATGCAGTCCCTCTGCATACGCTTGCTCCAGATTGGAAGTCGCCCTGCAAACTCCTTAACAGGCCCACGCCGAATATCGACGAGCCCAAGAGAGAGCCTGGTATGGAGCTCGCGCTCATTGGGGCGTCTTGGCAGCACAGCTCCAACTCGGTTTTCACTGAACATGTCTGAGGACGTGTGTAAGGAATTATCAAGGTACAGTGTTTGGGTGTTCTTTAGCTTGCTCTTTCATTCGGAGGCGGTGGGGACGCGCAATGAACACTGATCCTGAATTGTTGACCGAGGGTGGTGATGCTTTGGATGAAGCTCCTGCTTGGACCTTGGAAATGATGTTGCACTGAAAAGCATCCAGTCTCATCAAGAAACATTACGTGGCGGACGTGACCCAGGTCATGGTCGAATAAGCCAATTGGTTCGCGCCTTTGTCTTGAACGGAATAGACCATTTGCACCATGCTGCCGAGCTGCCAAGGTGTTGACCAGCCGGCAGTCTTGACTTGAGCTTTTCACCCTGGCAGTCGTTTGATCCCCCAAAAGACCCCCAAGCCACTGTTTACCAGCAGCTCCAAAACTATCAGATCTTTTTCCATAATGTTGCCATACACTTTCAACTTGGAGCGGTTGATAGTGTGGAGGTTGAGGTTGTCCACGCATCATGCTGGACTAAAGTGAGATGGTTGGAATGAGAAAGGCGGCAGGCATTTCTCAAGATGTTGCAAAGATAAATGAATGCAAAATTAGACAAAAACTGGAGGCCGCATCAGCGAGAAAAGGGACACCATCATGCCTCTGTGCGCATGTGCCCCATCGCCTGCGCTGAGTTCAACCAATTCCATCAATGGCACGTCCTCTCAGATCGGATAGACCGTTGAAGATCGCCAAGCACGGCCCTCCGCTGTTGGCTCTCAGCTGTCCAATATTGCCCAACAGAAGAGGCGGGTTGTCTCAGCCTCCGACTTTACAGGTTAATTTTGTCTTGTCGCATCATTCCACATTAAAGCCAGGCAGGAGGCCTGGCCTTGCAGAGTCATATCCTGGTTCTGTTGACACACAGAAATAGGAGCAAACTTGTGTCACTTGTGTCACATCATTCTTGTGGATTTCAACATTATTGTTGCTGCATTTCTTCCTACTGTACAGCAACTGTTGAGCTGTCAGGGGGGCGGGGAAGTGGCCATGCGTACCCTCCTTTGGCCGGTCCTCCCCAGCGATGTATCAGAATGTTCAAAATAGATCCGCAAAGCCATAGGCATGCAAGATCAGATGCAAGATCAGACGTGGGGCATTTCATGGATGATATGTTCTGCTGAGCTGGCTGAGGCTGGCGGGCTTACTACACGCACAAGAAGTCCTAGCTGGAGCATCTTGGCTTTAGAGGAAGGTGAGATTGGTGAGTCCGGAACGTCCGGGTGAGAGCGGGAGACTGAGGTCTTTGGGTCCCCAGCCCCTTGTCATGATGAGGAAAGCTGCAAGGCCTGGCGCAGAGCAGACTGACTGGCCACCACTGGCCTCGGCATTCTCCAGGTTAGATTAAGCACATTGACATCCAAGCTCGATGAACTGCGGGATGAAATGCGAGGCGCGTGCAATTATAGCAAAGCTGAGAAATATGCTGGCTTACAGTTTCTGATCAAATCATCTTGCTTTCCCACTCGAGGCTCTGGTGAACTAGAGGGGCTAGCAGGTGATTAAGGTATCAACTAGATATCAAATAAGCACAGTGCAGCCCATTAGCAGTAACAGTCGGTAAAAGCTTATCACTGTCACTATTCTTGAGAAAGGCCTTTATTAACCATCATCGTCCACTGTTGCTGGTCATGGGATATACCCAAGATAGGTGAGTTAGAGCTTAGGAGCTCGGCAATGTTCTCGTCTCTGACCCAGACGAGGCAAGCACTTGACGCTACAAGCACTAGAGGAGATCCGGGGCGGTATCCTCTCGGGCCGTCGGGTAGAGCTTCCATCTGCTCAGCGCCAGGCCGGGCCATGCAGCCCTCAGCATCCGGAATGTTCAAAGACCGAGTGTCAAGATGTTGCTAGTTTCCATGTTTCCAACAGCTGTTATAAGCACCACGCCAGGCAGATGCTCCTTTCCGAGCTTGACCAATAAAGATTGATTATGTTGATTATTTGTAGTTTGCCATTTGCCTGACAACCTAATCAATCTGAAGGTCCCAAGAGAGCCAGAGGTGTCTTACAGTGCCTTCCCATACATCAAAGCCAGAACCGTCCAAAGATGTCTTGTCAAGTAGATGTGGCACAAAGCTGCAAGCGCTTGCACGCTCTTGCGCCAGCATCTGGAGCGGGGCAGCCCCATGATCAGCGAGGTGACGTTTGATGCCAGGCACGACGTGATGAGCACCCGTAAGTATGAGCTCCGCAAAAAGCTCGGAATACCTGGAGCCAGATTGAACTTTCACGAAATATGAGAAGCTACTGGTCAACAATCGCTTCTCAACTTGATGAATTGCAAGCTTTCTGCTGGGGGCGTTCTTGCAAGATTGTGCTTCTGGGTGACAGCCCCTTAAGAGATTGTTTTCCAACATTTTCCAACATCTCTTGAATACCATTTAGGAGTTGTTTTTATATTCTAAGGAACGAACCTTCGACCTTCGCTAATCTTCGCTTATCAAGCAAGTGTCGGAGAACAAGCCTGAAATCGATACCAACCCGGCTTTTGCCCAGGCATAGACCAGTTTCCACCAATGTCACGAGACATTTTCAGCGGCCCTGCTGCAGATGGTTTTCGCTTTGAAAGCTATAAGACCTTGAGCAACACGAAGGTGTTTGACCAGTTCCCAGCTTGCCAAAGATCTGTTTGACCAGGTGGCAGAGGGTGATTGCCCCAGAACTGCAGGCTCGCACAAGCGCAACCGGGGGGGCCATCACATATTTTTCAGGCAAAAAGACAAAACTCATTCACCTCAGCTTGCAGCCTCTCCGAACCCATCTCATTAGAATCATGATAAAGTGCAAGGTGGACAGATGGAAACAACCCAACGGGATCAAGTCGAGTTCCGCAACTGCGCAGGATTCCGCAACTAGGATTCCGCAACTGTTTGGTCGGATTCCGCAACTGGGATTCCGCAACTAGGATTCCGAAACTAGGATTCCGCAACTGGGATTCCGCAACTGGGATTCCGCAACTACGATTCCGCAACTAGGAGTCCGAAACTAGGATTCCGCAACTGTCAGGATTCCGCAACTAGGCTTGCGCAACTAGGTTTCTGCAACTGGGATTCCACAACTGGCGTTCCGCAACTAGATTCCGCAACATTGTGGATTCCCTCACTTGGATTCCGCAACTTGAATGATGAGGGGGTTGGCGTGATGTCAAGATCACACGATGGGGACAAGGGGGGATGGGGGGGTGGGGGGGGGTTGGGTGGGGGTCTAATGACGTTGGTTTGGATGTGCTTCAAAGGTGATGTCACAGGCACACGCTATTGCATGATGTGGAGATCTCCAGTTGCAAGTTTCAGAAGGCAAGTTGCAGAATCTGACTTCCAGTTTCAGAATATTTCAGAATACCAGTTGCAGAATCTGACTTTCCAGTTTCAGAATACAAGTTTCAGAATCCCAGTTTCAGAATCCTAGTTTCAGAACCCCAGTTTCAGAATCCTAGTTTCAGAACCCCAGTTTCAGAATACTAGTTTCAGAAGCCAAGTTTCAGAACCCTAGTTTCAGAACCCCAGTTTCAGAACCCTAGTTTCAGAATCCGACCGATTAGTTTCCGAATCCGGCTCTAACCCAACCCAACGGCTTCAAGCACTGCGCGTGTTTCAGCAGATGATGCGCACTTTCAGGTACGGCAGCATGCCTTTCTTCACCTGAAGAAATCTCCGGGTTCAAAGGCAACTATCCGTTTTTTTGTTTTTCTTTGTGGTATCTCAATTGTTTGTGACTGGTCTGCAAATGGATGGTGGTCGCAAACGTAGCTATGTTGGAGCATTTGGACGTGTAGTCCGTATGTGATGAAACTCCCTGTGCAGTCCGCATCTGCCCTATTGGTTCTGCTGGATTCAGAGCGCCTTGGCATTCCTCAGTGCAGAATTTCTCAACTTTCTGATACATGGGAAGCTTCAGATGACTTTACGCAGTATCTCCGCTTGGCATCCAGTGCCATGTGCAGGCCGTGCCAGCAGCATTTCTTGGCTCCAGTTCCAAAGTTGAGCTCGCCTAAGTCTGCGCTTCTTTGCGATGGCGACCCGCATCGCAATTGTAGGCTCTGGGATTGGTGGCTTGGTGTTGGCCAAAACACTGTCTCAATACGGTGAAGGGAAAGTGGAGGTGAAGCTCTATGAAGCTTGGGCTGAGTGGAAGACCCGTGGAGGATCGCTAGGCATCCAGCAATCGGTCGAGATCCTTGAGAAGCTTGGCTTGAAGGAGGCCTTTGATGGACTTGCCAATCACACCAAGACAGGCAAGTACTGGAGTGATGGCCAGGAAGTGACGGATGTCGATTTGGAAGGAGCAATGCCTGGCGGTGGAATCATCATGCGCAGAGATTTGCAGCAGATGGTGGTCCAGTCACTTCCTCCAGACATGATCTACTTGGATCACAAGCTGGAGAGCATTGCGGAGGATGACAAAGAGGTGACCTTGACCTTTTCCAACAGCAAGGGTGAAGTCTTCATCCAAAAGGCCGACATTGCGATTGGAGCAGACGGCATTCATAGTGTGGTGAAAAGGCAGCTTTTCGAAGCGGGTGATCCAGTGCATGCCGGCTTTCGCCTCTTATACTCTTGCAGTTCAGTACCAGTTCGCAAAACTCCAGAGGAGGTGCACGTGAACTGGAACACGAGCGATGGTGAAGGCTACCAAATTATGGACTGGACAGCCGGTGCTGGAGACAAGCGCCATGATGTGTGCCTATTGTTGATGCGCAGTGAAGAGCTGATCAGCGACAAGTGGGACTCTACAATTGTCAAGGAGAAGTTGAAAGAGTTGGCTGCGAAGGTGGCACCAGACCATGAGGTCCTGCACAAGTCCATTGAAAATGCTGAGATGTGCTTTGACTGGGGCGTCTACATTCAGCCAATCTTGAAGTCTTGGGTTTCGCCTAAGAAACGTGTGACGTTGATTGGCGATGCGGCACACGCCACGGCACCCTTCATGGGACAGGGAGCCAATATGGCCATCATGGATGCTTGGCGGTTGGGGCGGCTTTTGGCCGATCAAGATCCAGAGGCTTTGGCCAAGTACGAGGCTGATCGAAAGAGTTCCGCCGAGCAAGTGGTCAAGATGAGTTCCATGATGGGCAGCATGTACACCACCACGGGCTGGAAAGCCAAGTTGCGAAACTTTGTGGTGCCGTGGGCCTTACCCTTTGCAATGCAAAAAGCAAGGGCAAGCCCCATCAAAGAAGGGGAATAAGCTTTGACTGTCCCCAAGGGAAGCTTCTTTGGCGCGAGGGTGCCAAAGACAGCGACTACCTGCTTTATTCTGCCGGTGACTGCGTGGACATGATGCCAATGTCATCTAAAAAGGCTGGTACTCGTAGCTTGCAATTGTATGAACCAATGTACCAAAACTATTCACAACCTACAAGCTGTGACACGGACACATATCCTATCATCACACAACACAACATTTCATGCTGGGGCTGATTTTGCGCCCAGGTCGAAGCTCTCCATCTACTCTCTGGAAAACGAGCCCTTACTTGATCGCTTCGACCTGGGGTTTGCCAGCCCAGGATTCCAAGTCAGGTTTGCATGGATTGAAGAAATCCAGCTGGAGCCAGGCATGAGGGAAAGATCATCCAGCTGGAACTGTCTCCGACACAGGCCTGCAAGATCAGCCATGGCAATACTGTTACCCTCCTGCAAAAACAAAACACTGGGTTGTAGAGGAGCATATCTTTTTCATCTAGGAGCAAGGATGCTACGAACGGGGCTCCTGGCCTTACTAGGAACAAGGTTCGCTACGAACGGGGCTCCTGGCATCGCTACGAACGGAGCATCTGTTTTTCATGGGTGAATTCTCAGGGTCCATGGGATCGTTTGCCGGGGTGTATAGCCTGGCCCAGCCGAGGTGTTGGCAGACGGTCTATTTTTATGTTGTGAAATGCGCAAGACTTTGGAACCGTCAGGTTTACAGGCAGCTTTAGAAGAAACATAGCTACTGGATGTTAAATGGTCATACTAATACATTGCCCCGACCGCACCGTTGGAAGATGTGAAGGGTAAGGAGCCAGGAGCCCTGAGCCCTGGGTCGCATGGAAAGTACTGAGCCGAAGGGTACAATCTCAGCATCTTTTCTGTGACGTGTGACACTTTGCCAGCATGTTGTGTTGAGGCAACATACAGTGCATTGTTGGGGTTCCATGCATTTGCCAATGACTTTGACTTGCTTCTCAACAAATGTTGCACAGCATGAGTGAACTTTCATCAGACGCGCCCAAAAAACAGACGTACACACTTGCGAGGAGAATCACTTTGTCGTCACGGTGGGCGAAGACAACGGTATCCGAGTACACAACATTAAGGCGTGTCCTTGCATTGCACTCGGAGATCGTGTACCGTATCGGCTGCACGCTGCCGTGCACGGACCCGTGCATCGTGTCCGGTCCACTGTCCGTCAGATCATCGCCAAGAAGCAGAAGACCGATGTGCCAGGGTCACCCAGAGCAGCGGACTGATGTGGAGTGTGGAGTGTGGATGACGTTCAAAAGTACCGCAAGCAGGAAAGATGGTGAGAAGGAAGAGGAGAAGGAGAAAGAGAAGAAGGACAAGGACTCCGGCCCCCAACCTTAAAAATCCTTAAAAACGATGAACAAAAGATAACAAAAGAAGCTAAGGGCTTGATGGGGCTGACCTCCTGGCCTTTTCCTCGACAACGCTTATTGTTGAGGCTTCAAACCACCAATCCTTATTGCGGCAGGATGTGAGAACGCTGAACGTTACAGCCAGCCTTGCCACACAATTTACCTTGTCACATGGGGAACTGGAAGAGGCTGGGACGTGACGAACTGCTGACGGGCGAGAGCACGGAGATCCTTTTCGTTGTGGTAGTTGCGTGAGAGCTGGTGTTCGGTATCATGACAAATCTATCAGTCAAGCGTGCTGCAATGTGTACTGCATCTGGATGAAGCATGATGAAGCATCGCATCACTTGTTCGGGGTCATGAGTGGTCACACCATGCCATAACGCTTCCGCATCGAAGTCCGCCCAGACACGCAAGCTGAATGTTGTCCTCCCCATCGAGACGCTTAGCTGAGTTCGTTTTTCTTTTTTGTGTATTTTAACATCTGCTAATTCAGCTTTTCGGTCTACGGGCTGCTTCGTTCCATAGGCTTAGCCTACAGAAGGACACGAAATCAAAATTTTAACATCTGACCGTGACGATCTCAAACCCACCTGCTTCGCTGACAACCACAACCGCGCACCTTCTGCAACGCACGCGGACACCTCAAGGAGAGGTTCGCAGACCTTCTTCATCGCTGGTGACTCGCTGGGAGGCGTTTCGGTGTTCTTCCGAAACGGTGGCGCCTGGCATGTTTGGGAGACTCCGGAGACCGTGCAGACCGGGAGGTGAGAATACCCCGGAAAGAGACGTTGGACAAATGGGTGAGGTTCCGGCCGAAGCGGGGGAGGCTTGGCCCAGATGAGCAAGGTGTTTGATAGACATGAGGATTTATACACATGGTCACATGGTGGAACTCATCGATGTGTTCAGATGAAGATCAACATTGATCATTCAGATCATTCGATTTGGAGCTTCCCACTTCTTGGATTGTTGATTCACACGGCCAGGCACGATGAGAGGTCGAGTACGTGTAACTGAAGACCCAGGAGGTGTCAAGGGCTTGATCCGGGCACAGGCCGAAAGAAAAGATGCGAAAGAAGAGATTCAAGACATGAAGAGATGGGCTTTCCTTGCCAGGGACAACAACAAGTGCTCTTCTACAGCAGTCACGCCTTTGGTTTCTTTTCGCCATCTCAAGTGGACCTCCAGTGCCCCGTAGCTATGGCTTCGCATGGAGTTTCCACTTTGATTGGCACAGACTCGTCACTTGCACCGGAGTTGCACTGCAGGTATCCACCATGTACTGGCTGGAATAGTCCGCTCTATGACCTGGCCATGGAGCCCGGGTACTCGTCACCTGGTGGCACGGACGGGGAGTGCAACTAGTACCTCACGTACCGAAAACGTACCTCATGTAATGTAGACATATGTAGACTGTAGACTCTTGATTAATAACCCCCATATGAAGAGGTTTTCATCAAGAGTCTACATTACCGTTCGGTATGGTTCATAGGAGAGGCCGTTTGGTTGGCAAATATATCGTCGCAAAACGCCAAGGACAGGGAGGGTGCTCCTGGCTTTGCAAGACGGCGACGTCTTGGTCTACGCGACCACGTGTGGAAAGAGCAAGGCCATTCATTCATTGCGCAAGAAACAGCCCAAGAATGGCTATTGATTTGCTTATGGCTATCAAATAGCTAAACCATTCAATCCAGATCTTTGGCTAGTTACATTGCGCTTTGCGGTTATGAACTTGTGAACTGACTGGTCGAGAGCACAGCTCAAGAAAACACCGGCTTTGTGCAGCCAATGCGGGAACTGTGGATGACAGCAGCGTTGTTATTTTGAGAGATAGGTTTTGCATGGATCCGGACTCTTTGATTCTTTGAGCGATTCACACTTGTGCTCCTTCTTTTTTTGGAGCGCCCATGACAGTCAACACCACTGGCTCCACTCTGGTGAAGGCCTGCGATCTGGCGCTCAAGTTCCCTCATGTATCCGTCTTGCCCTTCAACCTACACAGCTTTAGAGGCCATGTCCGTGCTGACCAGAGCTGCCGCGCTTGTCCAAACGAACACAAATGACACGACAAATGTGTGACCAGGCCATGTGATGGCACTCGCAACGCCTTTACCAGACATGGAGAAGAAGGAACTGACGGTTTTGGGGGGTTTTGTTCATTGTGGCTGGACACATTTTCATCAATTTCCCACTGGTTGCCAAAGCATTGAAGGACTGCTGGCAGCATCTTGCAGCTTTATTGTGTAGATGTTGCCTCTGGCGGTGCAGGATGAGTATGTCCGAGAGATCTTTTTCTTCAATATGGTCGCCAGTCCGAAATTCCTGATGCGCATTGACCTTTGAAAAACTTTGGAGGTGTTTGGCAGTTGGCATGGGGTTGGCATGCGGTTGGCATGGAGCAGCATCATTGACGACCTTGATCATGTTCTTGCGTTTGTCTCCTTTTAAAGTAATCAACTCAATTTGGAACAGATTGATGTGTGAGTAGGTCAGCTGCAGCACTGAGGCTGCCATGGAGAACGGCTATGGCTCAGCACCCTCCAGAGCCATCACTCTCCAGGTGTTCATTCAGTCTGATCACCTTTTGATAAAGTTCTGGTGAAGTTTGGCTGAGGCCCTTGGACTTTATTAGAATCATTAGCTCGTATTTGTAAGCCCTAAAAAGGTGACTCTCAGACGGCTTTTTGGTACCAAAGATGCGACTCAGATCGATCTGAGGATCAATCTTTCCTCACCAGGACCGAAGGGTGTCCTTTTCCTGCGACGTGTCAGGCATCCTTCAAGCCCAAGCAGCCGGAAACGCTGGCCATGCTGGGCCAGCCAGCTGCTGGACCTGGAGGTGCAGGCAACTTGGACTAAAGTCAATGGAGCAGTGCAGCATCACGTTTCCTGACACATCTTGGAGTCTTAGACTCTTGGGAAAGACTCGTACTACTGGCTGATGTACGGATAGGCCAGCGTTACTCGTACTACTGGCCGTCTGTGGCAGTTCCTGGCTTCACCGAAGAAGACACGCCGCTTCACCACCACACGGCGGTCTTTCTTCTTCCAAACGACGAAGACCGCCGGTCGCGGTCGCAGGTGAAAAGGCCAAGTCGCAGGTGGCGATCCGTTTTAAAGAAGAGAAAGGTGTGGAGCTTTACGATCTCACTCTCAGGCGCGTGGTACAACCCTTTTTCTGCCAAATATGTGTTGGTTTTCCTTCTTTAAAACCAATTCTTTTTTAAAGACCCAGCGATTTGGCAGGGATTGAAGAAGATGTTAGACATTTGAGGACCTTTGGAGACATTCCGTTGTTTGTTCTTCTGCAGGACCCCGCCGCCGCCCAAAGCTGCAGCAGACAGCCATGTTCTCAGTTTTCGAGCTTCGCTACCAGACCCAGCAGTACCAGCAGTAACGAGTAGTTATTCGGAGTTATGGTAACAAGGACGCTATTGGGTGGAGGATGGTGGAGGCCATCACAAGTAGGTTGGAGGCCATCGCTGCTAGTAACAAGAAGCTACTTAGTAAGGGCATCGCTACTAGTAGTAATTCGATGCATGAGAGGTCTGTTCCGAGCGCCTCACACCGAGCTTCGCTTTCGTTTCGCTCCCTGTGCACTGTGTGTGTGTTACCGGAGCACCGAGCGCCTGCATTCGCTGATCTTGTTGCCCGGTTGACTCTGCCCAATACAAAGCTACATTGCTGTCACCAGGCAGCAGCTCAAATGGCTGGGACATGTCCAGCCTCCTCAACTGGCAAACGTGGCACGAGTTTTGTTGGACTCAGCTGCGCATCCCCGAAAGATAGGACAACATCTGAAATAGCATCTCTTTTGCTAACTTTTTCATGGCAGGTTCCCAAAAGTGGGAGTCTTCGGCATTGCTTTGGTTGGAGTGATCTTCTGGAACATCAAGAAGGCGACCAGCGCGTTTCCGCGCTGTCCGTGTCGTGCGCGTTTCCAGCGCTGTCCATCCGACTCCGTTGTTCGAGGTCTCGGGCCAATCCTCCGGGTCTCCGGGTCCGGAGATGGATGACTTCGATGCCACTTGGATGAACGGAGACGTCGTCACGACGGGAGACGTTGACACGAGGTGTCTTCAGATTTGGCATACTGTAGTTCTTGAACGGCAAGAGAACAGTCAGCATCAAAGGAAGAGTTGTTCAAAGAGAAGCTGCGGGAAAGGCGGGCAAAGTCACACACTCAGCTTGTTCCAATGAATCATGTCTATGTCTATGTTCATTCCAATCAGATGGCAGTGACTCAGCCAATGTTTTATGGCCTCAACAAGCTCTCAGCTTCGAGGCAACAAGACAAGGAGAAGGAGCAGACATGTCAAGAAGATCTGGAAATCACAGTTTTAACAAGTATACATTTCGTTCACACTATAGACATACCAGTAGAGGATGTCAGCATAGTTTGGTGGATGTTTGTTTCGTTTGCGAACACACTGCCTGTGGAACACTATAAGAAATGGATTTGCTGTAAGACATGGGGATGAGGCTTGGTCACGTGATGCTTGAGACACCCGCTCAGATGGGCGGGCAACGAAAGGGATGACCCGAGAATACTTGAGCTCGCAAAGCCAAGCAGATTTGGACAGGAGGACGATGCCGATTGAAATCGAAGTGAGTAATGCTTGCACAGCGTGGCGGTCAGCCAAGTTGTATCCCTCCAAAGATGAGGACATTGGAGGAAGTTTGCCACGTACTTTAGCTAGGTTTCACGCTCAGCACAAGGCTGGACAGCGCCGGCACTCAAGCGTATGCCTCTTGGAGGGTTTATGATGCGAATTACTCAAAACAACTGTCTTGTAACATCTCTTCATACAAAGACACTTGATTGATGTTGCTACCGATGGTTGTCATGGTGCAAGCACGAATCTCAGAAACGTACAATCCGAATACTGCAGGGAGCAAAAGTGCGACCTTAGTGGGCGGCATTGACAGAATGAAACATGCCACCGCATCGAACAGTTTTCGTTCTTTCACATCCAATCCTGTTTGTTTGCCGCCCAGTATGTGTGATCAAATGCCGTTCTATTGAGTTTGGAAGGAGGGTTGGCTACACCTGGAGACTCAGCTTGCAGTTAGGAGATTCATAATACAGCTACTAGAGCCAAATAGCTTTCAGCTAGAGCCAGCTTAGATCAGGGACATGAAAAGAAGTTTTCTAGAGGTTCTTGTTTTAGGTCCTTTTAGGTGTCTATACTTCAGATGTACGAAATCGCCTTGTACCTCGGCGTTCGTGGACATGGCTGGCGGCTGGATCGCAGGTGGCATCACCGTTTCTTGAATGGTTCGGTTGACAACCGCAGGCTAAAGCCAACACTGGTTCATGTGATTTGATTCGCAGGTCAAATGGATTCAGCCAAAGAGCCTCCGCCAGAAGCCTTGGTTTTCCGCCAAAAGCCGATCCTCATTTCTTCGTGATGGTAAGGCCCAAGCCCGCCTGGCGACAACTGAGGGTGTTGACACCTGAGAGCTTAACACAGCTGGCACAGCTTTGTATTTGGTGGTAGTGGTAGTGGTAGTGGTAGTGGTGTTCTTGGTTTCAAGGCCAAAGCTGCGGCACCAACTGAAGACGCTCGGGGCTTTTCTGCTTTCTTCAGAAGGGGCAAAGAAAGGTCTGATTCAAAAGGTCCAAAACGGAAGGACATCCTCGTTGACGCTTGGATTTGTTCTAAGAAATCGCTAGTAGGTTGGAGGCCATCGCTCTTCGGTTGGAGGCCATCGCTATCAGAAAATTCCTCAGGTCATTGCCGCGGGTGCTCAGTCATTACGCTCGCAGTGACAATGCGAGGAGGCCACAAATCAAATGAAAGGCTTTCTTTTTGACTCGATTTGTCATTGTTTCGCTACTGGCATTGTGAGGCGTGCAGTGAAAGGAGAGGTATCGGCAGAGAACTTAAGAAACATCAACAAAGGGATTCTGAGACAGTACTGATTTCAACACAAAAAGGACGTGCATGAAAGTTTGCAACCCTTCTGCCCTAGGCCTTTGGAGTCTTGCCTGGCCACACTGCGCTGTGCGGGATTTCCTAGCAAACATCGTGCAAGTCGAGAGAAGACAACCCTGCTGCCCCTGCTTGATTGGGAAAACAATGCTGTTTAAGTTTGCTTCCTTGGCGTTGATGGCATAGCACACGCATCAAAGAGTTTCAAACCTGGCATTTCTACAATCCCTTAGTACTCGTAACTTAGTACACTTTACATAATACAAGCCCTTACTGTATTTGGACGTGCCTGAACACCACACATCCACCACCACTTGCAAGGACGCTTTCTAAATACTATTCTTTGCCAAAGCATCACATTCCCTCCATGCGGCACCGGTGGAAACCTAGGGCGACAAAAGACCAAAGAGGACAGACGAGAGACGTTCGATTCGTGTCTTCTGCAGCTGCTGCAGATTCTTTTCTAGTTGGATGCAGAGAAGGATCTAGTTTTTGAGCAAGTTGAGCATCACTTTGGGGAATTTCTGGCTCAAGCTTCCATATATATATATAAATGGACTTTGCGAAGGGTTCAGTCCGCCTCCGTGTGCAGCCATTCAGCTCTTCTCGCCCTTCTAATCCTCCACCGAGACTGCAAGCGAGGTGGGAAGTAGAGATCCACGTGAACGAACACATGATGCAAGTAGTAACAAATGCATCGCTACTAGTAACAAGGGCCTTACTACTAGAACAAGAAGCTAGTAGAAACAAGAATTAGTAATACATGAGCAACGTCAAAAACCTCTATGATGAACAGTGTACCAACGGTATAGGCCCTTTAGAGGCTCAGCCTCTCATATATATGAAACAGTACTTACGAAGCCTTTGTCCAGTGCTCCTCTCGCCCGGGTCGGGACATTTGTGGACCCAAATCCGGAAGACCCTTGGTGCAAGGCTTGTGAAGACTGGAGATTGTAATAAGTCAGTCAGAAACAAAGAAGAGACATCCAAACCGATTGCAGGCCGACTTCCAGGTGGGTCCTTCCAAAGTGGCTCGTTGCTTGCGGCTGGGCCTTCCACGCCTTCAGCCGAGCGGGCCGAGCGCGTGCGTGGCACGTGTGTCGCAGCTTGACACGGCTCATGGCCAATGATGCGCGGCATCATCCATCAGCCTTGCGGAATCGGGGGCCAATCTTGGAGGTGTTGCAGGACGTTTTGGCCGACAAATCTGCCAAAGAAGGCCCAAAACTCACTGGTTCACCTGTGGAATTGCAGCAATCAGCTTTAGGCTTTCGCATAACGTGCACACTACCCATCAAAATGCACTCTCTGTCAAGCACGCATTTGGCTTTTCTGTGGTCAAGGCCACGTTCTGGAGATAGGGTCTGGCAGTGGCTGCCACGCAGAGCATTTTGCTCCAAACTTCCCGTCGCTCAGCACCAAGGGTAATGCAAATCGGATTCAGATTGGTTATTCACATTGAGGAGCTAGATACATAATGTGATACAGTTGGTTGCTTAGTTTGTTCGGTTGTTTGATCATTGTTTGTTTGATTGTTTTTTTGTTTGTTTGACTTATTGTTATTTGTCTGTCTATTTGTTTGTCCTTCTATGTGTCTGTCTGTCTGTTTGGCTGGCTGGCTGGCTGGCTGGCCGGCTGGCTGTGTGTTTTGTTTGTTTGTTGCAGCATCATTCAGGAAGCTACAATGGCAACCCAGTGAATACGTGCAGGAGGGCAACACCTCCGTGTTGAAGGAGCTTGCAGAACGCAAACCTGAAGCAAAGAAGCAAGAGACTGAGCATGAGAGATGAGATGGCCATAGAGCTGGCGCTTGAACATGCCAGGATATAGATGAGGTGACATCCTCCATACCCAATGTCCGACGTGCAGTAGCATTGGATGCAAGTGCTGCTTGGGCAGATTGGCCTTCACAGGTGAGAGAGTTCGAAGGGCAGCTGCTTGGTTGATTTCAGCTATGTTGAGTGAGTGACCTTTTGGACTGACTCTGTCTCTGTCCATACCTGTGTTCTTGAGCCTTTGTCCTGAGGTTCACTGCCGTTTACCTTTCGAACATTACTCATATTTCTCCTTGGAAGGCGCAGCTGAAAGTTGGAGACATCTACGACTGAGGATTTGCTTGGACATTCGCATGCACTTGCGACTGAAAAAGGCTAGAATTTGGTCTTGGACTCGACTACCCATGACTACTATATAAGACTAGATAGTACACGTTTCTTTGTTTAGACCTCAGACGTTTAGACCATTCTTTTCCTTTCTTGCTTGCTTCCTTGTTTTCTTGGTTCCCCTCCCTGAGAAAACACCCCTCTCATTTCTGGGAAGGCCTTCTTCTCTTGTTTGAACCCGTGGCAGTTGGTTAATCGCTGTGGCAATCGCTTTGTCTCGAAGATATGGCAGGTCACCTGTGGCATCGTTGCAGGGGCCAGTGAGGCGCTTGAGAATGGTGGGCTTCTGATCATCTACGGCCCGTTCAAGGTGCAAAGTTCTGAGTTCTTTGGATTCTTTGTTTCTTTGAAGACTTTTGCAATATTGAGCCTTCGGTCTCTAGAACAGATGCTGGGAATTGATATGTCGTACCATCTCCTTCCCACCGACATCCTAAAATGAGGGTGGTCGACCACGTTTTTGTCATTTTGTATTATATACTCATTTAGTTCAAGCTAGACCGTTGGTTTGTAAGACCTTTGACTATTAGCTAAATGACTTGTACGACCTTTGGTTTGTGAAAGTCATTATATTTGACCCATTTCACTATGAAATCAGGTGTGCTGACCTGACTTTCCGATAGCATCGGGGATGTCGAAGCATTGCTCCATTGCTTGGAGAGATTCTGCTTTGTTTAGACTGTTCCGTCCAGGTCAATGGAGAGTTTACGACTGAGAGCAATGCAGACTTTGACAAATCGCTGAGGCCTGGTTTCTGCAGAGTGTTTGAGAAGATTCCAAGACAGAGTGCGATTCTACATGATTCTACTGATTTGGGAAGACTTGTGCCAGCTGGACATGGGAAACAATTGTTTCATATTTCATGAGCCCTTCTTTCCCTCCTGGAGCCTTTTGCTTCCTGTTTGCTTCCTGCAAACACCCAGAAAACATCGGTGTGGATGGGCGCTGCGAAAACGTTGCGCGCCAAAAACGCTCCCCGCAGGTCACGGAACCCGGAATGGGGATACCGAGACATCGACGAAATTTGCGCAGAAGCCAAGAAGAATGGCTTGCAATTTGAAGGCAAACGAGAAATGCCAGCGAAGCTTGGCGATGCACATTGACATGCAGCGACATGCAAGTCTTGAAGTCTTGCAACAGCTTAAAAGCGGGAACTTTGGATGCATGAACCTGTTCAATTGGCTTGTCATCAGAAAGATGCTTCGCATACACAGCCAAGGAACAACTTTCTGCTGACCTTCAGCAAGACTAAATAGAGCCAAAAAAAGATGCGTCCGTACAAGCATTCTTATCCGCAGCTACCACATTATGTCTTGCCTGAGCGCAGATTCAGTGCTGACTCTGAGCATTCGGACCATGAGGAAATGGAAAAGGATAAAGAGTCGGGTGCTCTTGGACATGTCAGGTGCAGATGCAGAGCAAAACGACACCGCAAAACGCAGACGGACGGTTTTTCAGCTCCAAAATCCCCGGCCTGTCAGCGTTGTCCCTTTCAGGCACCTGTTCCAGGTTGATCATCGGTCAGATCATCGGTCAGATCATCGGTCAGCTCCTCGTTCCAGGCCTTTCAAACCTGCCGTTCCAAAAGCTTTTGGAAACCGAACAGAAGAGGACTTTGCTCGGTGTTTGATGGTGTTGTATTGTTTTGTTCTTTTGGCTGCAATCCCAGCCCATTTCTTGGACACTGGTGTCATTAGTGGTGATACATGGGTTTTATAGCCGGGTGGCTTCATTTCATCAAGGCAGGTCTTAGAAGTTTTGTTCAGGCCATCTTCGCACACCTCTCGGGAGCAAAGCGAGGAGAAGGTCGAGAATCCATTTTGTGTTTTTTTTGTTTAAAGACATGAATCTACCAACCAAATGAATAGCGGCTATTAGCGGCTCTTGGTGGCTAGCGGCCGCGGCCCTCGCCCTTACTTAATTGAGTAGTTAGTTTCTAATTACTTGATTAAGTAAGAGTGAGGGCGTGCCGGGCTAAAGAGTTCGGCTTTGGAAGTTCAAAAAACTTCGTTCACGTCTTGGAATGTTTTTCAGGTGATTGAGCAGAAGGACAACCAGCAGACCTTTGCAGAATGGCGCAGGAGGCATTCAAGATTGCATGGGCCCCGGATGCAACTCGAATCGAAGTTGCCTTTGTTCAGATTCATCTCTTAGGCGCTTTCCTCGCCTGGCAGAGAAAGCTGCTTATGATGAGGAGAGCTATTCTTACACTGCTAGGGACTACTCCTTTACTGCTGGGAGTTCTAATCCCAGAGCTACCCAGGAGCTCAATCGGCGGAACGCAGCACTGGCAGTAGGCTCTCTGACTTTGGCTGTTGCAAAGCAATCTAAAAGCAGTTCGCAGCACTGGCGTCAACACGTTGGCTTCAGCCGTCCAACGAGTTCACCAGGCCAAAGACGGCGTGACATCGACTCGGATGAGGAAGAAGAGGTCCCATGGATCGTCCGGTGTCGGGTTGTGCTTGGTCGAGACCTTTCAGGAGCGAGGAGTTGATTCTCGATCCACGTGGACCATGCAGAGTTCAGGCCGACACGATCTTTTGCCTGCCACGTGTCTTTCTTCGTCTTCAAGTTTCTTGCACAACAGTTAGTATCGCATTTCTCCTCTCTTGATCTCTCTTGCGCTTGAGCTTCTTTCCGAGGCCTTTTGACACCAGTCAATGTGAGAAGCCATGTTGTTGGTTAGTTTTATTTTTGGCCTTGCAAAAAGCGAACTCGAGTGTTCTCTCCAAGTTCTTTTTGCCGCTCAGCTCTTTCAGCGTTCTCTAGCCAGCGTGCACTGCGTTGGGAGACCAAGAACGCGCACAAGAAGAACAGTTGTCAACACTACCAAGAAGCTTCTGAGTTTTCGGGCAAGTCTTGGACAAGAAAAAAAGAGACAGATACAATAAACATCAATAAACCAACATAGATGGTGGTAATTAAGCTTTTCGGTTTTCGCGTGATGGCTTCGAGGCCATCGGCGGCTGGGCCCCAGTCCTCGGCCTACCATCCTGCGAAGACAAAATGCCGTGTCACCAGCCACGGCCAAAGCTTTTCCAGAGCAAACCGTGTTAGTTTTTGGACGTAAAGGATGTCAACATCCAACGCACTGAGCCTAGCAAGAGGACGCACTTCAGGAATGGGTCTAATATAAGCAGCGCACATATAAGCAGCGCACGATGAATACGTGTTTGAAAAGGTGACTGATTCATTGGGTTAAGCAAATGGAGTTGTGAATTTCTCGTTGAGTTGGCCGTGGGTTTGGCCATCCTTCAAGTGTTTGCCCCTGTTTGAATCCCCCCCCCGAACATGCACTGAGTGCATTCCAGACATCGATCGGTGCCCGGGCCACCCGTGGACCGAGGTCTCCATCGGCACCACGTCCACCTTTCACGTGAGTGCGATGGATGCGCCTCGAGGTCCAAAGTCCGAGGCCTCAGAGGTCCGAAAGAGCGATGAACATGGGCATTTTGACTCATTTTGACTCACTTTGACTCATTTTGACTCATTTTGACTCCAGTCTTCAATGCATGCTGGTTGATGAATAGAAGATAATAGAAGAACAGATTCTGAACAGACCTTGAACAATCCCTTCTTTTTCTTGTTTTTTTCCCCAAAGAAATGCCTTCAGCCTGCCATGAGCATGAGCATGCCTGTCTGTTCTGCACCACCAGTTTACTGGTGGGCATCTGTGCCTGCTGAGTCCGATGGAGCAATCCACCACGAGCTTATTCAGTTCGGCCCTCTCGGTGTGAAGCTCGGTGCGACGTCCAATGCAGTGGTGTCGCTGAGCTGAGCTGAGCATTCCGAGGCCTCCTCCAAGCAGAACTCCTCCATGGCCTCGTGGGGCGGTCCAGCAAGATTCAGCGGTGACAGAAGGGAAGACCCATGATGGATCCCATGTCTGTGTTTGTCATTTTCTAGAATTTGCATATAGTAGTAAGACATCATATGTTTTTTCTATATCAAGCAGATTGCAGAGGATAGGCCAGGAAAAAGAAGGAATCTGGAGTGCACATTGCAATACTTTCCCCAATCATTTGATCCTACTTCATCCATCTGAGAACGTGGGCCCCTTCTGTGCCGGCTTCTTCACAAGCTTCCGTGGACAGAAAGTGGCCGGGGTCGCAGGAAGTTTTGCGAAACTGTATTGCATGGACGGTTTTTGGACGGTTTTTGCCACGGCGATCAGGTTGTCCAGGGTTGCTCCAATCAGCTGCCTGCCGTCTGGGCCAGCTTTCATGTTCTTTTTCAGCGTTTTCGGTTTTCTTGGTTTGGAATAAGTTGTCTATATATCAGGCAAAACTGATTATGTTGGTATTTCAATGTGCTGTATTTCAAGGGTCGGTCTATAACAGTTTCCTGATATGTCTTCAAGAAATCAGTCAGTTTGACTTGGTGGAGATCTGACCATGAAAGCCCTTCACTGTGTCTCCTTCACTGGTCCAGGGCGAACACCAGTGCAGTACGGCAGGAGATGATGGAGCAGGCCAGGCCCACGTCGAAAGCATGCGAGCGCACGGCAGACGACAACCTTTCAGTTTGTTTCGGTGAGAATTGGGTGCAAGATACGTGTCCAGTTTATGAAGAGCTGGAATAAGAATATGGCATTAAAGAAACACACACACAGTGTTTACTCCATATGATGGACTTTATGATCTTTCTTGATTTGCCTTAATACATTCGAGTTCATGGCGCACGGTTGGATAGCGCCTTCTAAGAAGCCGCTCTGCTTCACCGCTCTGCCTCATCCGCTGTCAGGAGCGTGCGCGGCTGATGTCCAAAAGGTCGACGAAGAAGTCCTTACGCTCGGGGTCTCACCCCGAAGCGGGACCGGAAAGACGCCTTGGTTTGTCTCACATAGGGAGACCGACCCTCCTGGCAATGACCCCCTTCAAGAATTCGGAGGCGACATAGACCAGTCTACTCAGCCACGGCCAGGGGATCTCCCTATTAAAAATCCGCCCGCACCTAAGGTGCTGAGGCCCGCTTAATAAGCTTTAGCTTGGGGGGCCCCCTTTCATTTTTGGGAAATGGTGTGTTGTTGATATTTTTATCTTGTTAATTCTTTTTAATGTTTTTTGAAGATTGATAAAAGTGTAGGGCTTCAGAAGTAAACATTCGCGATGCCGGCTATGCAGCCCGGGCGACGCTGCATTATGAACATCGTGGGTGTGTTCGTGTCCTGCCTGAAAGAGACAGACAGATTGAGACAGACCGACCGAGACAGACTGACCGAGACAGACTATTGACATCTTGTGTGTGTTCGTGTGAATTCACACCTAAGTGGAGTGTGGCCGCGAACACTGGAACCAAACCTTGGGCTTGGTGATTGAAGCACTGCATGACACTGGAAAGTCTTTGGATTGGATATTTTTGGAGCATCTTGAACTGCAGTCGCCTTCAGCCACAGGTTCTTCAGTTCCTCTCTCACTTTGCCCCAGGTGCGCAGAAAACACTTTCTGCGCTGAACACATTGACAGTTTCAGGACGCCCTCGGGCAGTGTAGTTGCACTTGAAACTAGAGTTTTCAGCTGTGCAGCTCCAAGATTCATCCATTCCGCTTTGGCCATGCAGGAAGTGCAGGAGGCTACCTGTCCTTCGAGAGTAACACCGGCATATTCTTACATACAAAGTAGCAGAAAGGCTGAAAAGGCGATCCCTGTGGGTTTTGATTGGTTTTTTTACACCTTCCAAAAGCTTAAAACCACACCTTACCTAACGCATCAGATTGGGGCCTCACCGACGACTACCTGGAAGCATTGCTGGAAGCGCACGACGGCATGCCGGCCCAGAATCGGCGTGACAAACCACCAGCGACAATGTGTGACGCAATATCCACGTCGCTAATTACTGTACATGTGCTGTGACCGATGTGACCAGGGCGTGTTAGGTTTGCCGCTGTTGTCTCAGCTCCTGAGGGCTGGGGAAGAAGCCTTGAGCTCGGGTAGAGCGTCAGTCGAGCGGAGTCGAGCATTCTAAATGCTGAGGCATGCGGACGTTCCAACCGGGCTGGTTGGTGCGCAGGGCAACGTTTTTGCATTCTGCGACCCCGATTATTGTCGCACAGATTGCCTGGACATTGCGGGATTTTTCTTGGATACAGAACTGCCAAAACGTCAGAGCTGCCAAAATCCTTTGCCTGGTTGGTTTGGTTGCCTGTGCTTCCCCAGCGTGGCCCCGAATCAGCTTCCGCAAACGTGGTGCCAGGCGTGAAGCACATTCACTTGGGGGGGCAACTTGCTGACAGAGCGTGGCTTGAAGGTGGTCCATCCAAGTTTGTCAAGTTCTGAGGAATCTAGCCCAAATAGCCTACTATGGTCAAGTCTGAGTCTATAGTATAGCGTGACTATAGCGCGACTCATGTTTAAGAATGGTACGACGGGACGACGGGTTTCGTTATGTCTTTTTTTCTACACGCGTCTCTCTGTGGAGGCGTTGGTCTCAGTGGAGGGCCCAGTGCAGACCTTGAAGACCTTGAGCCATGGCAGCAGATGGGTTTTATACTCTATTAGTGGACCTCGCAACCAAAGGGGGTTTTGGTCTATTCTCCTCCTTCAGGAGGTTTTTTGGGATGTTTCCCTCATCCAACACAACCCCAGATCCTGCAAGTGCAGACGCCTCAGGGGGCCGTTTCCCAGTGTCTCTTTCTGCCTTCTGCCGACGCCTTCGTCGCCGATTCAGGACACTCACATCAAACCAATTGGGATTGGAGGACGGGAGACGACGCCGTTAGACCGTGAGACAATGCGTAACCGTCAGACTAAGAGTGGATGAGTCTCGCCGACTGGCTACCATTTGACGGGCCAGTTCTTTGCACTTGGGAAGCCGTGCAGACACGCGCAGACAGTGTGAGCGTCACAAATATGACTTTGCGAAGTGATCCATTTCAAGGTGTTGGACTTCAAGATTAACATGAGTCAACGCATCCTTTCCATGTAACTCTACATTCCATTTCAGTCTATTTCCTCACCAATTGAAGATGTTGGAAACTCCCAAGTGACAAAGCAGAGAAGCTCGCATGCTCAATTGCGCAGAAGACAAAATATGAACAAACATATGCTACGTACTTCATGCCCCACCTCACATTGTTGCTATAGATTCTACCACGATGTACTTGGCAGATTTTGTTTGTGTCGCTGCAGTACAGAACAACAAGGCCACACCATGCATATATGAAACACTGCAAAGGATCTATATTCAGGTCGCTTCGCAACGACAACCGCCCCCCCCCGCCAGTTGTTTTTTAAGAGACAGCACGAGGAAGACATGTTCTAATCCAATGAAACGCACCAGATTATTACTATGTTTTTCGACCCCTTGCAAGTTGTACACTTTTGATAGTATAAGGGGGTCCCACATTTTCAACAATGCCTGCAATTTTGCTACAGTATTTGATATTTCTTTTGTTCATCCACTGCATTGTAGTGGTAGTATTCGATTGAATTGTGTTCTATTCTATCGTATTGTATGTGCTGCAATCATTTATTGTATATATATTATATACTCTATAATTGCTGTCTATTTTTTTGACCCCCTTGAAACGTTACGTTTTCAAGGGGGTTCAACCTATGTTCAACAATGCCTGCAACTTGCCATTTGTTATTCTATCTCTTACATCGATCATAACATGGACCACACACGCACACGCACACACACCCCAACCAACCCAATTTCCCAGCCCATGATGCACTTGCATCCTTTGCATCCACCATATCCATGAAAGGCAAACAAACGACGAAGCCACAGAGCATCCGAAGACGCAAAAAATGATGAATCGCGGAGACGTCCGCAGAGGGCCCGCTTTGTTTCGATAAGTGAAGCTGGGGTGCTGTAGCAAAAAGGAGGCAACTCGTTTTTTGCGTTAACCGCCTCAATGTTCTCAGACACAGATGCTCTCATCAGCCCCTGTGTTTTTTGCCAGGGCAAAACACTTTGCGAGAGCCTTTGGACGTTGGAAAACCTCACAGAGCCTCTGGGTGAGGAATTATGTTTTATGATGTTTTATGTTTCCAAACGGCAAGCAGCCGAAGTACGAAGCGTAAAAAAAACGACGCCACCGAGGTTGGATTTGAGCTGCAACAGCCTCGGTGACAGCCTCACAGCTGACCTTTGTAAGGCGCTCTCACAAGGCAGAGCCGACGAGCTGTTTCGGTCTTCTCCGTCGTTGTTTCGGGCGATTTGTGTCGGCCAATATCAAGGGCGCGTCTAGTAGCTCCGTCTCTTGTCTTTCCTCGTAGTTGCGTCCCTGCTTCTAGTTAGTAAGGCCAGGAGCCCCTAGTAGCATCCTTGTTCCTAGTAGCGATGCCCTTTGTTACTAGTAGCGTCCTCTTGGTTTCAGAAGGTTTCACGCAGTTTTCAAAGTTGAATGATGTTGAACATATATTTTTTGTGCAATGGCGCTTCACTGCCTAACAGGTTGTCCTGCACTGCAAGGTCTTGGCCTTGCAAGGCAGGGCCTTGCAGAAAGGGAGAAAACAAGACAGACACTTGAAGACATGCTTGGTATTTTTTAGCAATTTTCTACAGGTAGTGGACGAATCCACAACATTGTGTTTTCTCAGGTGTCGCCTTGGCTCTCAGTCTACTACAGCTGCGGCAGGGTCTGCTCTGGGGCACTTTGTTGCCTGGAAACTCAAAACGACCACTGCCAGCCATGGCGCGGGTTCGGACACAGGTACAGTATCTGGTTATTCGTGGGTATATTCCTAGGTATTTCTCTAAATGGCGGAGGCAGGTGATGATATTCTTTCAGGAATGACCTTCAGATTCTATTTGCGTCATCACGGCGGAGTGGAGGCTCTAGTGGAGTCCAGTGTCCGAACTGAGGCGCAGTCATCCAATTTGAAGGTTCTGGACCTGGCTTGGAATGCGCTTCATGGTGAAGCAGCGGAGGTGACGAACGAAAACACCCGACATTTTTGGGTGACCCTTGGTGACTGGTGACCCTTGGTGACTGGTGACCCTTGGTGACTAGAAAGATAATTTATGTAACTGAATTGATTCATACACTCAAAACAATCTAGAAAACCACATATATACCCATATCCCAACAGCCACTCCACTTGGTCACTTGCGATTGGATCGGATCATGCAGACTTTTTCTATATTTGCCCCTTGTCCTTTCACGGTTGATGCTTCATGTTCAAAACCACGAGGCATTCCTTTCTGCAGATGTGGCTTGTCAGGCTCTTCTGGAAGGCGTTTACGAAAACAACAAGGCCGCGGACGCCCGGCATAGTGGTGGCTTGCGGCGGCTTAGCCTTGCTTGGAACCGTATGGGACACCCAGATGCACCGTTGTTCGGTTTTCTTGGAACTTGGAATCGAATGGAACCAACTCATAGACTATCATAGACTCATTGTTTCTCATTGAACGCTGAAGCTGTTGAAGTCACAGGGCGTGTGGTTTTTCGTGATTCGAGGCCTTGGCAGCGCATCCAATTCGGGCCAAGCCACACGCAAAGCTGACGCATTGCCGCCGAAAGCATGTCGTATTCGTCCGCTCAGACCTCCATTCGCCGCCAGGCTCTGCGAAGTTGCTGTCCAGCATTTTCGAAGACTGCACGACATTGTTCCACTTGGCGTCTCAGTTGGATCAGTCTTCGGCCTTTCTGACGTCAAACAGCATTGAACACTCTAGAGCCACGACTGTCCCAATAGAGAAACATGCACCATCCCAAATAAGGAAACTAGTTGTGTTTTTTCTGTTTTTAACGGTAGGGAGAAAAGGCGTGGATGGAGGATGCTCCGATCCAGTGATTAATTGGTTGGATTCTGTCTGGACTCTATTACAAAACTCCTTTCAACTAACTATTGTACAAATGGCCAAAACGAAGGGTCTTCCACTTCCCTTTCCAGGCTTGACTAAAAGAACAGCATTTCCTCTAGTAGGGTCTTGGAAAGGAACGACTAAAACAGCTTGTACAGTAAACACAAAGTAAGGGCACATTCCTCCAGAAAAGCAAGAACATCGTCGCTGGATGAACACTGTGATGATACCGCAAAAGAAGAAGCACAAGCCGCATTTTGATTCAGAATCCAATTCATCCGCAAGTAGGGTTTTGGAGTGGAGTTCTGTTTGTTATTTAGGGATTGTTTATGTGTAAGTACCGGGAAGTCAAAGCAAGGACAAAGCATCGATATTAAGGGCTTTGAGAAACCAACAGACAGTTCTTCTCCTCATTGATTCGCATGCCAAAAATCAATATCGTTCTTGTACTCAGGACTTATCCTACAATGGTTTTGGTGCGGAGGACTTCAGTTTCTTTTGGTTTTGCTGGGCCGTGAGGTCAAATCAGCATGGGCTTGGGCTCCCAGCGTCTCATCTCTTCTGCAGTCGTCCGTTGTTGGAGGACTGCGCTCTCATGGCTGCAGGGTTGGCGGCCAACCACACCCTTTTTGGTTCGGGCCACTGGTATTTTTACACGGTTTTTGGACATGGCAACTTCACCTTTTTGAACTGTGAACAGCTGTGAAATTGAGCAAAATTTGTTGACAGTTGATTGTGCTAGTGGCCTTTGGCCGCACTGCTCAGCAGGAAGGAAGAATACGGTAGTCTTCAATCAGTTTAAAGACGAACGGCACTTCTTGGATCAATTCCGCTTGTTGGCCCAGCCTGCCTCAGGAGGAAGTGAAACATATGCACTGCACACATGCAATTTTCTGTCAAATTTGACCAGATTTGCTTCCTTTCTTTTCTGTGTATGTTTTGCCAAGAACTTTGCAACAAGAACTTTTCCCACCCTGAATTACCATTCAACATGAATGTCTGTGTACATACGCTATCTGGCGCTGAGCATTCGTTTCAGCTTGAAAGCGACTCGGCAAGTGGCGACTCTCAGAGTTGAATTGCACTATATTGAACAAGTGAGTGTAGAGTGTGTAGTATAGAGAGGCGGATTTCTGGACATGCTGATCTTTACTTTCTTGGCTCAGCGGCATGTTTCGTGCTCTTTTTCTACCCAGGTGAAGCAACTACGCTGGATTTGAAATTGGCCATCCAAGCACGGCTAGCAGTGCCACGCAAGGAGCAACGTTTGACGGTGCCTTTGGATCGGACCAGGGGAAGACCTGGCACTCTTCCTACGGTTGAATTCCGCTTTTGGACAGATCTCACTGCCTACCCATTTTGATCTCCAGGTTTTGGCAAATAGCTCGAAGCCAAAGCGATTCTTATTTGGAACCAGTTCCCTTAGAACCAGTCCCTGGAATGTTAATGGCTAGAACCAGACGCTGATTCTTTTGCCTGGAATGCGGTGATTCTGGAGCCAATTTGCGCAACTGTTTTTGGAGCCATCCCCTCGTCCCATCACATTCCATTGCTCCTACCTAGCTGAGCCTAGCCTAGCCTAGCCTAGCCCCTCAATCTGCATTGGGCTTGTGAGAGACGGAGCAACCCCGCAGGTATACCTTGTGAGTCTTCTTATTCCAAACGTTATTCAGGTGTATTTCTTGTGATGTTTGTGTTCGAGCGTGGCTGGGACATTTCAGCATCTTCGGCTGAAGCCTGAAACAGGCAGGTCAACTCCTGCTGCACGATGGTTTGCGACTGGCCAACATCGCAGCTGAGGCTCCAATCAATTGCTGTATATACATTCAATTTCTTTAGCTCACTCTTTGTAGTTGTCAATGCTCCTCACTGTGTGGGGTCATTTTGACCAGCTTCCTATAGGTCGTGGATGAGGATGATATTCTGCAGATATGCCTCCTCCGTTCCTCGACTTGCTACCATCTCCAGAGTAAAAAAAGACCATTTACCAATTTTGCCAGGGTTTTCAGTGCTCCCATCGAGTTGTAAAGTGCTCCCATGCATCCATTATCATCCATTTACATCCATTTACATTGGGTATGGGAAGAGGGGAACGCCCCCAGCCAATGGGAATCGGTGGAGCACGAGTCGTGTTCGTTTGGGTCGTTCCTTCGATTTTCAAGGCCTCGATGGAGCACGTCCTGGAATGGTGGAAGGATTGGCATCCGGCTGGTTGGCACTACAGGATTTGTCAGAGGCTCGGGTCCGGTGTTTTTTTTGTTTGGACAAACTAGTTCATTTCAAAGAACTTGTGAAGCAGACCACCCAAGGGCCTATTTATTTGGCATTAAGGTACTCAATTCGTTTTGATTCTCATTGCAATTTGCACAACATCGTTCCGAACCGTTCCCTTACCGTTTTGCCAATGGTTGATATCAGGAACTGCGAGGTGACAAGGAATTGGTTCTGGCAGCTGTCTCTGCAAGCTGCTCGAAGCAAATTCAAGATGTTACTGTCTAAGTCTAAGTGTCCTTTCGCGTTTCTGTATTTGTAATTACGTCATGTGCCTAAGTTTTTTGGTGTCAATATGTATGTCTATAGCTTGTACATGTTTGTTCACATTCATTGAACATTGCTTGTGTCCTCCTGTGGCTTCCGAGCTTTGGCAACGCCATGTCGCGTTGAAACACCGCTTTGCGTCGTGGAAACAAAAGAACCAAGACCTGCCAGATCTGATCTCTCGCACCACGGGCTGGTTGGCTTGTTGTCTATGGTTCACACTTTCTTATGTTTTTCTTCAGATGATGTGCTTCAAAAAGTAAGTAACAAACCACTGTCCAGGCCAAAAAGACATGTTTTGGGGCCCTAAAGGCCTTGCTTTTGGGTCTGCCAAAAGTATTTTTTTGCGCCAAACGCCGAGATGGTTGGTGCCTGGAGTTCGCCAGCTTTTTGCTGCGTGGCGACCGAGATGTGGCCATGGCCGCCGTGCAAAGCGACGCGGCCGCCCTGGAGTTCGTCTCAGAGTCCCTGAAAAGAGATCGAGGCGGTCGTTGGTTTTTGGCCGTTCGACACGAGACTCTTCGCGGCCGTTAGTGCCGGCCTCTGTGGAAGGATGGAACGGATTTGAAGAGATTTGATTGCATTCTAAGTCCAAGTGCGGGTAACCGAGAGATAGGATTTATTGTTTCGTGATTCTTTGGAGAACTATCAATAGATGATATATTATATAATAGTGATATATATATATATATATATATTCAAATGCGACAGCAACCGGGTCTTATCCAAAACCCATCTGGGTCTGCCTGCAGGTGAATGCCCGCTGTCATTTAAGATCAAAAACGGTGGCAGCCATGGGTGTTTGGCGGGAGGTGGACTCATCATCTGATGATGAGTACGAGGAGCGGATACATCATAGATATTCCCACTAGTACTAGTTATCCTCTTGATTGGCAGGAGCTGACCCCTTTGCAGCAGCAATATGTGCATTGCGAGGATGAATTTGCAAAAGCAGCTGGTTTCCTGTCTTCAGTCATCGAACAGTTGGTGCAACATCCTTTGCATCGAACAGTTGAGGCTTTGATGAGTGGCTTCGACGCTGGAATGGCACTTTTGGATATGCCAGTGACTGCACCCTGGCTGCACTGCGCCCACTTTACTCCACCCGTTTCTTCTCCGAGCACCTTTTCCGAGCCCCACTTTTGCAGAAGGTTCGGGCATGGACACTCCGCTGATGGCTCTCCGGAAGCTTTTCAAGAACAAAGACCATCTGGTGAAGCATATGAAACTCAACTCAAAACATAAGTCAATATGTCCACAAAACATGCAGAATATAGTGTGTGGATTGTGTGGTGTGTCCACCCGTGTTGCTCAGGAGCTGCTCCGAGAAGAACAAGATCGCAATGGACTTCCTTCGTCTTAACCATGGAGACCCTATCCAGTATCTTGCTTAAGTTTTGGAGGAGTCACAGCTTCAAGTCTCAGAGTAGTTTTTGACTAAGTATCATTTTGCACTCAGGTGCTGCACTGATGTTTTCGATGTCGACTCTTCTCAAAATCACCGCAAGGCAAGGCAACATCTTGCTGATGATTGATAGATCTTATTTCATTAGTCTTGATGGAACACATAGTTCATATTTGGCACCCTGCCCTGAGGTGGGCCTGTACTGCGCAGGCTTCCCTTGCACTCCATACTCCTTATTGCATTGGGGAACCCGTCTACTCGAGGAAGAAGCTGCCAAACCCATGTGGCAATGCATTCGAAATGTGAAAGAAGCCAGTCCAGGTGTAGCTTGTCCAACCTTTTAGATGCGTGCTGATTTCCTGAGCCGATTTGTTCATTAGATTGACTCAGAATTGGGGTGCCACCAAATCATATAAAGAAACCGGACATGTGTATTAAGGCAGTGCTACTTGAAAATGTTCGTGGACTCTACCGTGTCCTCGACAAGCTCTTGGAGGTCCTGCAAGAGAATCTTCCAGAGTGGCTTGCCAATCATAGATTGGTAAAGTGAAACAATGCCCTGGCAACGTGAATCACAAGACAAGAGACAGTGGTTGGGTTGGGAAGGTCATGCCACCACTGCACCCAGGTACCAAATTGCAGTGTTGGAGGTGGACCCGTAGCTCTACCGCAGTGGTTTGAACATGATTGGTTCAAAAACTTTGGGAATCAGTGATCTGGTTTTATCCGAGGAAGAACTATGGAGCTCCCATCACTCGCGATCGTGTTTGGATTTTGATGGCTAGGACTGATTTGATGACGAAGGCTGCCCGGCGGGATTTCCAGACATATGCATCTTCTATGGCAACAGCTCTTGAAAAAAAACTGCAAAGTTGACTGGTACCTTGGAGCAACCATCATTCTTGAACTTGTCATTCATGAGATTTGAAATCCCCCCTAATCCACACCTCTATGGGAACTTAGGCAAGACTTATTGCTGCCTGAAGATCACTGGAGGGTGCAACAGGTTATTCGTCGCCGATGCCAACGCAAGCTGAAGCTACTTGGTTTGTTGATAAGCTGATGACCCGAAGGAAGGAATTACTGTATCTCATACGTCGGTGTCCTGATTCACTCCTGAAGTTTCTAGCTTAGGCGAAACAAGTCAAAGAAGGTGAAGAAGATTCCCAAATGGAAGCTTCAGCACAGGACATGGGCAAAGAAATTCAAGGCTTCTCAAGCGCATATTGTGTTTTTGTCTGTCATGTTTCGCATGGCCCCCCAGTGGCCCAGGAAAACATGAAAACATATCTTTCGAGCCCGGCTCTAGGTCAAAGGGTCTTCTCGGTGCTTCCGGCGACTTTATCCTAGACTTCCAGCGCAAATCAATTCTGCGAGGGAACTTGATGCCCCTTGGTTTCATAATGAATGGGCAAGTTTGCACTGCAACCGTTGCCAAAAGATCCAAAAGTATATTATAGAATAGAAAACAACTAAGGCTTTGGACAAGACGGCGAAGCAATATGGAAAATTCTTGGCTGCAAACACGAGCCAATCCCTGGGTAGGATGAGTGTCGTTCCAAAGCCGCCGAGAGGAAAACCTTCGAAGCCATTGATGTGTTTAACGTGCATCCCTCAGGCTGCTAACAAGATGTTCACCTGAAAATGTGCTTCCCCTAGAACCATCTAAAACCTCTCAGTCGGCATGGTTTGAGGCCCAATGCTTCAATTCTTCTAACTGGCCAACAACGCTTCTTGACAGGCTAGCTGTGTTGCCAGGGCATCTCTCATCCTCTCATTTCTGCAGCTTCAAAAGTGCTCCTGGTCAGGTATCGAGGCGATGACTTTGATGGGCCTTCCGGTGGATTCCCTGCTGTTGGATCGGTACAAAGACAGAGCACCTGGGTTGCTTTTGGACTTCATGCTTTATGGCATTCATCACACTTTGCCAGTGGTGTAGTGGGTAGTTCAAGTGGCAAATTTCAGGCTCTCAAACAGCACTTTGTCATATCTTCTTGTTTCGAATGCAAAGGACCTCTTCCGAATGACTGGCAATGCTATGGCCATGCGGGCCCTTTTCGTCGTGATGCTGATCCTGATGAAAGCCGTCAACCCTGCAAAGCTCCGTGCATACCTGGACTAATTTGAAGTCCAATTCAATTAGATGTGGGAAAAGAAACACGCAGCGTGAATGAAGGATTCTGATTGATTGATGCACTTTGATTGATTCAAGTGGTTCAACTAACCCGCTTCCCTCAGTTTCTGAACTGCTCTTAGTCTTAGCTGTTGATGCGCGGGGGAAGCACTAGCATTTCATGGATAAAGATTATAACCAAAACGCCGGAGGGAATGATTAAGACACAATACCACCCCAAAAAATAGATTGTTAACACCATATGTTTCGACTAGATGCAGTCAGCCTGGAAATCTTTGGGTTCCCATGCCTGTCCTGTTTCGATGGAACGCCGATGATGATGGTCGTGTTCAACCTGCTCAACGTTCTGGGGCATGGCGGTATGATGACAGTTCAGAAACCAATTCATGTGCAAATTCAAATTCAGAGTTTCTAGACTGAGCTTGGATCAATTCGAGTTTTGAAGCCACTGTTTCAAGTATGCATTGTTTCAAGTTTCCACTAGTTGTTAGCCTAGTTTCAGCAAGCAGCCAGCCCCACTAATATCACTAAGGAACTCTGATCAGGATTCTGATTCTGACTCCGACGACGATGCCGACCACCAGACTGGAACATCATCCGTGGACCTGAAGGTATGCAACTTGGAATCCTATCATCAGCTGAACGGCGCTACAGATCAGTCAACATTTGCTGAAAATGGGGCATGTCTGGACAGAATCAAACGATGTTTGAGGAGCCCCCCGTGTCCGTGCAAGTGCACAATGCCCTTTGCAGTGCTATCCCGATGCTGCAAGGTTTTTTGGGGTTTACCAAAGTCACAACAAGATGCTGTTCTTTGGAGCTTGCAGTGTGAAAGTGGACGATCTGCAACATGGAGTATAGAAGGAGAGGGTTGGATGGACTTAGTTTTTGAAAGTTAAAACATGTTAAAACACCATCACTCCTTCCGGTCAAAAAGCACCTTGGTCCCCCATCTGCCTCATGCCTGCTCTTCAGGGCACCAACTCTGCCGCGAAGCCTGGCTGCGGTTCCTGGGCGTTGGGAAGGCAAGGCTGACGCGTACAAAGCGCAAGTTTCGTGGTTTAGATGAAAGGAGCATCAATCAGGGAATCTTGGTTTCCGGTATTTTGTATATTTTTGTTTATCCACTAAATACTTTGACCTCGGATATGTACAAGTCATATATCTTTAGTATCATACTGCTTCACTCAGGGCTCTCCCATCATAATTCAGGACAAACAGCCCCTCCAGCGGAGCAAACAGCATCCTGCATGTCCTTCTTTCAACACATGTACTGGACGGCTGCAGAATCAATGCCGACCAGGCTTCTTGGTTACGAGGTAAGTGATAAGGTTTATAAAGGATCCCATGACATTTTTGAATCCCTGTTTCTGCTGTTAAAGGAACTCCATACTTTTTGCTTCTTGCTTTTGTCAACCAAAGGTTTGAATCGGCTGAAACAGCAAGCCGGTCAAAAACAGATGCTGAGCTTCGGGAAGAACTCCTACGGAAGCTGATTGACCGAGAGCTTTTGGGGGGAACAGCGCAAATCATGTTGGAGTCCTCTATCAAAGCCTTACCTTTGCGAGAACTACCGCCTGGGTCCACAAGTTCACTATTTTTGATGTACTTGGCATACATCCGAACCACAGGAGACCCCTCAGGAGCGGCCTCACGATCCACGTTCTACAACGTGGCGAAGCTCTGGAGACCATGCCTGAGGTTTCGGAGGAAGACAGAGCATTCGCTTTGCTTTGAATGCAGCAGGCTCAAGAGTTTGATTCATGGCTGTAAAGACCCTTGGCCTACAATAGGGGTGGGACCGGTCTGTTGCATGAAACGGGTTTCAAGATCAAACATGTCGAATCATCGGATGAAACGACCACATGCCGTGGGCTCCCCATGGAATTCTAGGATTTTGAACGGCACGCAAGACTATGCGACGAGCTCCTCCAACATTACAACA